ACGTCTCAGGTTGTAAAAGTTCAGAGGTTTGCTCTAACGTTTCTCTAACCAATAGCAGAGCGTGACAGAAGATATAAAAATCAGAGTCAGAGGGATTTTGTTCTCACAGCTGGATGAAGGAAAGATGCCCCGTCAGCAGAGACGGTCGGCACCAAACTCCAAACAGGTGAAACATTCAGAGCCGGGATGTCAGTGGATCAAACGCTAACTTCCAGTTTAACCATTGCTGATGTTTTATCTTTATTTATTCTCCTTCATTTCTCTCAGGCACTCGAGTCTAATACAGAAATTATTTTTTCTGTTTTAAGCATTTTAGTTGATGTGATCCAAACTTGAGGAAACATTTGGTCTTCTGAAGGTTTGATTTACAAATTCCTCTTTTTCAGTTTAACTGATATTTTTATTTTAAAGTGCTGCCACAACATTTAGTTTCTTTTCTTTGGAGTTTTGAAATTTGTAAAGTTTGGAGTTCAGCAGGAAACCAGAACATTTTTAACACAGTATGAGTTATTTTAGATTTTAATTGCTTACAACCTGGTTATGTTGCAGAGTTTGATCTGTTGTTTTCCTGCTCAGCCTTTAGCTGCTTTTCTCCTTTATTTTTTTTAAATCCACGTAAAAACATAAGAGGCTACAAAAAGGGGTGAAACCTTTTTTTGCATTTTTTTTTTTTTTTACTTTTTGAGGACTTTATTAAAATGTAAGGGGTACATTCAACATTTTTCATTATCTCTTTTCATTCAGAAGCATTTGTTTCAGTAAAACTGGAGATTTACGTTCTTCCAAACGTTCAGTGTGTGAACAGTTCATCAATGTGGAGAGTCAGTTACAGCCGTCTGCCTTCAGGCAGAAACACATGATTTTTCACAGTATTTTACAGAAATAGGAGTTTATCTTAGCACATATTTAATAAGTAAAATAAGATTTAAAGACAAAGTCACTGTGAAATGTTATTGTGGACATAGATAAAAAATTGTGAAACTTGTAAGAGGAATAAAACTACAGGTGTTGTCAAATGCCAAAGAAAATGATGTAAAATCTAATTATTTCTGTGAAGGTGAAAAGTTTTATTATTGAGATGTAAAACCCATAAAATGTTTTGTGCCTCTATATCTGACTAACCCCACTAAAAGAAGAGTTTAATAATCCAAAACTCGCTCATGTTTCCTCTAAGATGGCATTAATTTCTCCTGAGACTAAAGCGTTTTAAATGTTTGTCTTAATAGTTTCTTTTTATATCAATTAGTGCATCACAGGCCAGGTTAGCAGCAGAATTTTATGTTTGTGTGCTGTTTCAAATGTTTATATTGTTATATTATATTATTATTAATATTATTAAATCAGCTGTTAATTCCAAAACGATTTTCTTTTTTTCTTGTGAAAAGAAAAGGTTTGAAGTGTTCAGATGATAAGTTCTTTTTGCTGCTAGAATAAGTTAGTTTATAGTAAAATGTGAATTTTCATCCATCTTTAAAAGCATCTGTGGATTTCTTGTTCGCAAAGATGAAACTGCCTGAAATTTAAGGATTAAGTTCATCAAAGTGTTCACTTTATGCACTTTAATCTTCATCCTGCCTGATTTTGCTCTGAGGTGGTTAAAGGCCTTCAGATAACGGAAGATGTGAGCATAGTGCTGAAAAGCTTGGTGCAAAAATCACATCTACACAAATCCATCATGTCTGCCTGTTCTCTTTACAAACTCAAGTTTCAGTAAAGAAGATTTTATCCAAGCCTTGAAATAAATGTATGAACTTGTAATTCTTGCCCAGAATGGTGAACCATGTTTCTAGACAGAGGCGAGACTCAGAAACATCCAGCTGGGTGCCGGTGCTGTGAAACGTGTCCCCTGACAGATGAAGGAGTGATCTTTGTGGTAGTGAATCTTCAGTGGCTCAGATTACTTCAACTTTTTAACATTTCTGAATGTTTTCTTCATCAGGCCGCCATCTAGAGTTTGTCCTGTTGGGAGCCTTTAATGCCCAGGTGGGGAATGATAAAGTTACCTGGAGAAAACAACAAGGTGAACCTCCGTAATTTTAATCTGAAGGAATGGGAGGAAGCCATGAAAAATGGACCTTTGGTTGCTGAACCACTCAGTACCCTGGAAATGAAAAGCAGTTTCCATTGATGCTGTTTGGTTAAATGGATGATGGGTGGATTGATGGATGGGTATTGAGAAGTGAATATTGACCTGTTTGTTTTCAGGCTGACCCTGAAGCTCTGGACCAGGACGGTTTGGTAGAAGACGATGATGGAACCACTGAAGGAAAACATTTCTTCACATGAATACTTCATCTTCAGTGGCTTCAGTGAACTTGGAGCTCTGAAATCCTTCATTTCTATCCCCTTCCTGATTCTGTTCTTTGTGTCTCTGTTTGCCAACTCCCTGCTGATCTATGTGGTCATTTCACAGAGGAGCCTCCACTCCCCGATGTACATCCTCATCGCCTGCTTGTCATTTGTTGATATGTGCCTGCCACTGATTCTCATCCCCAACCTGTTGCTGAACGTCTTGTTCAACTCGAGCGGGATCTCTCTGAGCGGCTGCCTGGTTCAGATGTTTTTGATTCACATGTTAGGCGCTTGTCAGTCGGCTCTTCTGGTCTGGATGGCATTGGACCGATACTTTGCCATCTGCAGGCCCCTTTCCTACCATGATCGCATGTCTTTACCTGGATTCCTCAGGTTTATCATCCCTGTTCTCATCAGGGATGTGATCATGGTGTCAGCGGTTGTGATTCTAGCAGGTAAAGTGTTGTACTGCTTCAGGAATGTGATAAACCACTGTGTCTGTGAACACATGGCCTTGGTGGAGTTGGGCTGTGGCAGCACAGCCATTAACAGTCTGGTTGGGTTATTAGGAGTTTTTATGGTCACTGTAGTTGATTTCTTGTGCATCACTGCTTCATATATAATCATATTCCACTCTGTGCTGCGTTCAGGTAAATCCAGCGCTAAAGCTCTGCACACCTGCTTCACTCACATCATCGTCATGGTCATCAGTTTGACCTTCTTACTCACGGCTTACTTGGCGTATCGGATGAACAGTCTCCCAAACGCTGGCCGTCTCTTTGTCAGCACCATGTACATGTTCCTTCCCAGCTGTATAAACCCGATCATCTACGGAGTCAGAACCACTGAGATTTGACAAAATGTCCTCAAATGCTGTTTATGCTGTTATCGGTAGGTAAAAACTGTGAATTATTTTTTTAATACTAAGAAAATTTTCTACAAATGTCAATAAAGTACTTTTTCAGTCATTCTGTCGTACTGCTTCTTTCGGGATCATTGTTTGGTTTACGACCCAAACTGGACCCAGTTTCAGCTGTCAGACCAATTCCCTCCCTTTGATAAAGAAGTCACATTCCACTCAGTTTTTGTCCTATGGCCACAAAAAAGATCAAATCTCCAGTCTTATCTCCAGTGATAGTTGGAATCAAGTTTTGTTCTGAAATCAGTATCACCATAATTGGCCAACAGGACTTCCTACGAATTTAGGAAGTCCTGACCAAACGTTTTACATCAGCAGGACTAGATAAACCCGCCGGGAGACCAAACCCTGCTACCAGCTCACAGGTGACCTTCCTAGACGACATCATGACACATCCAGGTGCTCAAAGATGGCGACCGTTCATCAGTGTGATAGGGAACAGTCTGTTGAATGGATGGTTTGGTGAATGCTCCAGTATTAATCCACAGATGGTCCATAAGCACGTGAGGACAAATGTGCATCAAGACAGAAATTCTTACCAAGCCAGCAGAAATTCTTGAAAATATATATAGTAAACTAATTATAAGTAAATTGTATTATTTACTTGGATTGGACTAATTTCCTTACATTAAAATGAACATCTAAGTATCTGGGGATCTTGTTCACGAATGGGGGAAGAAGGGAGCGGGAGATCGACAGGCGGATTGGGGCAGCGTCTGCTGTAAAGTGGACGTTGTACCGGTCCGTTGTGGTGAAGAGAGAGCTGAGTCAAAAAGCGAAGCTCTCGATTTACCGGTCGATCTACGTTCCCACCCTCATCTATGGTCATGAGCTTTGGGTCATGACCGAAAGAACGAGGTCCCGGATACAAGCGGCCGAAATGGGTTTCCTCCGCAGGGTGGCTGGGCTCTCCCTTAGAGATAGGGTGAGAAGCTCGGTCATCCGGGAGGGACTCAGAGTAGAGCCACTGCTCCTTCACATCAAGAGGAGCCAGTTGAGGTGGCTCGGGCATCTGGTCAGGATGCCTCCCTGGTGAGGTGTTCCGGGCACGTCCCACCGGGAGGAGGCCCCGAGGAAGACCCAGGACACGCTGGAGGGACTATGTCTCTCGGCTGGCCTGGGAACGCCTTGGGGTTCCTGGAGGAGCTGGAAGAAGTGGCTGGAGAAAGGGAAGTCTGGGCCTCCCTTCTGAAGCTGCTGCCCCTGCGACCCGATCCCGGATAAGCGGAAGAAGATGGATGGATGGATGGATGGATAAAATGAACATTCACAATCAGATCAACATACGTTGCAGAATCTCGAATCAAACATTGTAAACAAACTACAAAAAAATTTTAGAGCAAGTTTGCAACATGGTTCACTAAGCAATTGAGTCTTGTCCTTAAAGTGAAGTCCTGCATAGAACTATGAAACCTAGAGCAAGGTAGATGTCAGTTTTACATTAAAACAATCAACAAATTATCCATTTCTGATTATGTGAAAGTTTGTAAGTTGGTAGAAACCTTTGACCTGCAGATCAGGATATCTCATGAAATCATCAAAGCCTCTGTCCAGAAACTGGGAAAAAAGAGTTTAACTGGGAAAGACGGCTGGAGTTCAGATTGGTCAAATCCAGTGACAGATTTTGGTCTACTCTCCTTTTCAGAGTTGCATTTAAGGGTTTTTGAGCATGATTTGCCTGTTTAGGGTTATGCCACATCATCTCAATCAGATTAACATCAGGGCTTTTGACGTTAATCTCCTACAGAACCTTAATTGTTCTGTTTTTAGGCACTCAGAATTAAAAGTTTGAAGGAAGTTGCAGAGTTTATGTTGTTTTTTTCTCATTTCCCTTCCCAGCATTTACACCAGGGGTCCCCAAACTACGGCCCGCAGGCCGGATCCGGCCCGCCTCCACATTTGGTCCGGCCCCCTGAACAATACCAGAGAGCATTCAGATTTTTTTTCATTTATTGTATTTTCCGGTTTATATTTGGATTTTTCTTCAACCACCAGGGGGCTCTTTAGCAGGAAGTGTGTCCTGTAAACTGTGGGGCGCATTGCTGCCATCTGTTGGACTTTTAGGGAACTGCTTGACTTTTATGTTATGTAATCAGTTCGGTTATTTGCTAGCGGTAGAGCAGATGAACACGTGTCTGTTATGAACGCCGCATTCCAGGTTGAATTCTTCGAAGCAATGCCTGTAAGTAGCAGTTTATACTTCAAAACGAGCCTTTATGTTAACATATGAGAAATTAATATATTATAGTTACTTTCCCTCAATGGAATATATACTAGTCAGTCCCAGTGACCGTTTCACTCATGGTTTTTGCCCATGTGCTTTCTGGGTACAAAAACAATCGAGAAACGCCCCCCCCCCCACCGCCCCCCCCAACAATCTCTGGCCCCCCACCACCAGAGAAGGGAAAAGTTATGTGGCCCTCACAGGAAAAAGTTTGGGGACCACTGATTTACACTTTTGGAGTTGTAATAGTTTGGCGATGAGCTCTATTTTGTCTTCAGCCAATGGCAGCGGGCCAGAAGGTATAAAAGTGCTGACGCAGAGGAAGTAGTTTCTCACAGCTGGGTGAAGATGTTTAGCCTGCAGAGATGTTCAGTAGCACACGTCCAACAACAGGTGAAGCATACAGCATTATGTTAACTTGTAATTTAACCACCAGATCATTCATGTTCTCACTCAGGTTTTAACTTGTGTGTCACTTTATCTTTCAGGTACTTTAGTCACCGATACAAAATCACTAAATACTTTCTTCCTGTGTTTTCAGCATATTTGTTGATGTGAAGTCAAACCCGAGGAAATAACTTCTGCTTTTTCTGAGGTTTGTCTGACAAAATAATCACTAAAGTTCTACTGATTTCTCTAAAGTTCGGCTAAAAGGTTTATATCAATGTCTTTTGAGGTTGAAATCTTAAATCACTGGAGTTTTGAGTTAAGCAGGGAACTGCTTAATCAGTGAGTTTATATTTTATTGTAGTTTTTAACAGTTGTTCAGTTTTTATTTATTTGAAACCAGCTCAACCTTTATCTGCTTTTCTTTCAAGATTATAAACTCAAGTGAAAGCAGAAGATGGTGCAAAGTCATTTTTCTTTATTTTTAACTTATTAAAAAAGGTAAAAATAAGACAAAAAATTCCATTGAGAAAATATTGAATAGATTCCAAATTTGTTTCTTTTTCAACAACTTTTCTTGTTTCAGTGAAACAGGTGAGCCAAGTGTGAGGCGTTGGAGGTTGGGGAGTTACTTAAAGCAGCTTTCCATCACAATCGCTTTATTTGCCAAGACGTTTACAGCATGACGGAGTTTTTCTTGGCATAAACTCACATATTTAATAAATCATGCTGAAATGTTGTTAATATAAGTCATGCAAATTCTGAAACTTGTAAGATAAAATTATGGATATAAAATTCCAAAAATATATTTAAAATCTTTTAGACGTCAATTTCTGTTCAAATAACAATGAAACATTTTGTTATTGAGATAAAAAAAAATCTGTGATGAAGTAAATGAAACATTTTTGCCTCCATTTCTTATCAAAAATGCTTTTTTCTGCTGCGGTGTTAATTTCTCATGAGACTGAAATATTTTAAATGTTTTTATTAATAGACACATCTATTAATAGATATATTTTGTTTTTTAAAACTTTCCAGATTTACAGCTCTGTTATTTATCTCCTTGCAGATTTCTTTAGTTTCTTGCTTTTCCAGGCACTGCACCAGATTTTAGCAATAGGTAATCCACTAGTTATTGATAAATGAGTTATCACTGATTATAAAATACTTTTCATGTATCATGTAAAAACTATCAGAGTTCATTAAGGGTTCCTGTTCAGAACATGAATAGTTCTTTGCTCTCAACTCCTAGAGTAAAATGTTTTGTGTGTGTGTGTGTGTGTGTGTGTGTGTGTGTGTGTGTATTTAAAGCTAATTGTGAATGTCCTGCACACAAAGATGAAACAGTCTGGAATTTAAGGATTATATTTATCAAAGTGTTTTCTTCTTTTCTGTAATCTTTGTCCTGTCTGTTGAAGGCCTTTACATAAAGGAAGCTGTGAGCACAGTGCAGAAATGTTTGGTGCAAAGAAACTAAGATGTAAAAATATTAATTTATTTTGAAGTGTAATCGTGTTCCTGGTGAGAATGAAATGCATTTGGAGAGAAACTAATGTTACAAAAAGCTTTCAGTTTGTCCTCCAAGCAGCGTAAGCCTCAACTATAGAGGAAGGTCTGGATAATCTAAGCCAGCATAACTACAAGCTTCACTAAAAAATGAAACAGGTTTTAATCTTAAAAGTAGACAGGGTGTCTGCCTCACTGAACAGGAGCCTAAAAGATCTGCCTCCTGTTTTACGTTTAGAGCCTCCAGGAACCAGCAGTGATCCTGTTTTATGAAATAAGAAAGGTTCTGTTAGGAACATCTGGACCAATCAGATCTCTCATGTATTGTACAGATTGATTATTAACAGCTTTGTAGGCGAGAACAACTCCTAGTTCCCGTTTGAATGTTTATCAGAAGTCCTGGTGCTGTGTTTTATATCAGCTGAAGGCTTTCAACAGTGTTTTAGGACTTCCTGATAGTAAAGAGCCTTGAAACAGTGAATGCCTGGGCCATCACCGCTTGGCCAGACTGGTCAGTCAGCTTCCTATAAGACTCAGGACTTTGGATACACCAGTTCAGATTACACATACTTCCAATAATTTGTTGTCTTTGCAGGGCTGCCATGTGGAGTTTAATCTTCTTGTGAGGCTTTATTGGCCAAGTGAGGCATGACAAAATTACCTAGATAATACAACCAGGTGAACCTCCTCCTTAATCCCAAGCAGAGTCGTGTCCGGTTGTTGAATATTTAATCTTGGGTGATGCACAGTCAACACCATATTTATGATAGAAGCTTTAATCTCTTTAGGATCTGGTCACATAGGACTAGACATCAATAATTAGTACACC